GGTTGGAATACGAATTCACGTTCAACGACTACGGCAAAGTTATCTTAACGCTGGACGGCATCGAGGCCAGCTACGTCGTCTACAACATCTCGCTGGAGTTCGACATGGTCACGAGCCCAGAGCTGGCCCGGCAGATTCACAACCAGTACTCAGAGCTGTCCATCCTGTACGATCGCTGCGGCACCGGACGATTGTCAAGAACAAAAGCGACACGTTGTGGAACATCAACCTGAACGTGCCGGCTCGATAGATGAAAGTCATCTTTATCATTCCTGTGGCGGAATACGAACCGTTTCGAACAGACAGCAGACTCACTTGGAACCCGGAGATCGCGAAAGTGGAAGTGACCGTTGAGGGCGTGCCCAACCAGCTGTTCAGCTAAGGCATGCGAGCTCATCAGCAGTGGGACGAGATAAGAAAACTACCGGCCATCAAGCGGCACCCACCTGAAGTCAACGACATCGTCAAAGAACTGGGTTTACCCTACGTGACGATTGTTGATTACCTGGATACGTGCTGTGGCTGGACATGCGATCCACTGACGACGGCAGACTGCACAGCAGCTATCGCCGCATCGACAACGGCAGCGAGGGGATCACAATCCAAATCACTAAGAAGGCGCAAAATCCGGCCGGCAAGTTAAGTTTATATTTGTACGTGATTATGGACACGCAACTCAATATAGACAGAGGAAGATTTGTGCAAGCCATTTATTGATTTACCTCGTGATCCGTACTGCGCCATTGTGTGTGGTCAGATGGGGTGCGGCAAGACGGCATTGTGTGCAAATTGCCTTTCATCTCGCTGTGTTTCGCGTACATCGGTTAAAAATCGTTTGTTACATTATAAGATGGAGTGCGAGGAACTGCTCAAACAAATGTTGGATGACGATAATAATAACAACGACAAGCGAGAGAGACTGGTGGCGCTCGTGGTCGGCCGCAAAGCCAAACAATACTTGGGTGAGGCAAACCACACTCCCGATAAAATTCACAAAATGCCAGCCGAAGAAATCGACAAGCTGTATGCGAGATACGAAGCCAGACTCGGCGCCGAAATGACGAAAACCATAGGGTCTATCATAACACAGGTCTATGCTGGCGTAGCGTTGTACTTCCTTCCCATTCTGCAGGAACGTCGACTTTACCTGTGCGAAGATCTCAAAAAAAAGATCCGTTCATCGACCACGCTTTGAGCGCTGTCAGCTGCGTGGTGTTCCACAGATACGGCAGGTTTTGGGCCCCTGTGAACGCGGTGATCATCACGGCAATTTAAAGAAGAAAAAAATAATGATGATACTAATATACAACATAGATGCGCAAGAGGAGGAAACGCTAACGCCGACGGAGGAAGCAACGACAACGACACCGATACGACTAGTCACCACCAAGAATGCTAAAAAAGTCGCCGCCAGTAGTAAAGGTGGTTTAGCCAAGCACCACAAAAACAATAATAACCATTACGCTCCATGGATTGTTGCTGCCGTGGCAACGGGATTAAGCCTGTTCATCGTTATGCTGCTATATAATAACAAGCAACAACCACCATCAATGCAACAGCAGATGACACAATCACAATTAGAAATAAATCCGCATATTATATATTTTATATACACACGATGTCGTCCGAAGGAAAAACATTAGTCAACGATGCATATCCTGCCGCCGTGGTCGCCGGACTAACCGTAGGTTACGCTCGCTTAACGAAAATGGCTCTCAAACAGCCGACGATCAAACTCAATTTCAACGTGCAGGACATGGGCATGCTCGTTATGGACTTAGTAATGGCGATGGCCACCAAGGACATTCTGGTAAAACAAGGAGTTATACCGGAAAATATTTTGAAGTAATATTTAAAAAACATAATATAAAAGAATGGCTACGATCGGTGGTGCACGGTGGAAATTCGTCAACCACAATCATCAAATTCCCGTGCCTTACGTCATCTACGCCAACTTCGAAGCCCTCATCAAAACTGTCGACACCGTTGCTCCATCCCCGAGAAAAAGTTTCCTGCACAAAACGCAAGAATACGAAGCCTGCGTGTTCGGGTACATGGTCGTTCAATGGGACGGACAAATGAACGCTCCTGTTGTCTACCAAGGTCCCGACGCAGCCAAAAGATTTCTCACGTGTTTGCAAAACGAAGAGAAAATCATCAGGAAACAGTTGTACACCATCGTCCCCATGCGCATGGATGACCAGTGAAGAATTGCCACGTGTGCGACGAACCCCTGTGCGGCGATTCCGTGAGAGATCATTGTCACGTCACCGGTAAGTACAGAGGTGCCGATCACAACGTGTGCATCTTGAAGCTCAAAATCAATCCCAAAACCATCAAAATCCCCGTTGTGTTTCACAATCTTCGCGGTTACGATTCTTACCTGATCATGCAGGAGAAGAAGCAATACGGCGACAAGTGCGAAGTACTGTATACAGACACGGATTTGCTCACAAAAGGAAAAAATCACACCGAGGACGTGTACGAGGACATGACTAATAATATCCATTTGTACGACACCAGCGACTACCCGAAAGACCATCCTTTACACAGCCAAGTCAACATGGGACCCGTGTCTCAGCTGCTGGCCAAGCACAAAGTCCAGGTGAGACGAGGCGTGTCCGGAGCTCACCGCAGCCAAGCCATCGTGGAGAGATTCAATCACACCTTAGCCGAACGTCTGTTCTCACACCAGTACTCACAGGATTTAATAGATCCTGGAAACAGAATGGGTCGTACGCTTACCGCGAGTGGTGGCTGCCATCAACAATAAAGTCACCAGACTCGTGGGCAAGACACCCGTCGAAGCCATAAAAATAAAATCCGTTGCCGCAGAATCGGGAGCAGAACGTTGCGATAAAACAGAGAAAACATTACCAGACTGGGTCAGCGTTAGGTACTTGTACCAGCCGGGTGAATACGAGGGAGACAGCAGAAAACATGCCACCGATCCGATATTGTCCATGAAAACGTACAATGTCGACCTGGTCAACATCAAAGACGGCTCGATCCGAGCTATAGACCAGAGAGCCCGTCCACCATCATTCAACCATATCTTTACTCCCGCAGGAGCAATGGATATGAGGGACCTGGTCCAAAACTATCATTAAATAACGTAGCCAAGCCAGTCAGCCAGCCAGGCCAGTCAGCCAGCCAACCAGAGCAGAGAGACAGACAGACAGACAGACACACACACACACACACACACACACACACAAACAACAACAAACAAACCCAAACAACAGCACACAGACACAGACACACACACTGCAACTCGCCCGCTGCGCTCGCTCAACTCCAGACTAGGAAAACAATTGTGAACTGTGACCTGTCAACTCTGACACACCGCTCGCTCACTCAACATAGACAAGGAAAATCGAATGCCGAGACCAACGGGTGCCGTGGTGGCTCAGTCTGCTAAGCTTCTAGGGTCAGCTTGCTTTTGTGCAGCTGCACAACTGTGCGATTGTGAGTTCGTATCCCGTCTGGCCTCTATGATTTCCTTGCAACGTTCGAAACTTTTGGTAAGGTTATCTAGAACGGGGCAGCTCTCGTTGAGAGCCCGAAGCTTGATGCAATCCCATGAGGGAGAAGCCTTGCGCATCGCATCTATCTATTTCTTTCTCCTTTCTGGGGTTGTGACCGCAGCGGACATTTTGCTAAAAAACATTTCATGCTCTCAGTCGCCTCGCCACTATGAACAAATACAGCATTAGGTTGGATATTTAGCCTTTACACCGTTACACCGATTTTCGTGAAATTTGACATATACCTCCACCAGTAGTATGCACAATAGCGGAATGGGATTAGGGACTTACCAAAGCCTTGGGAAGAATCTGGTCCCGTTCTGCTATTCTGTATACCACTGGTTCTGTTTGATATAACTACCAATTTTTGTTGAAAAATGTTGAACTGTTTTTAGTTATGCTCGAAGACGACTTTTTTCACCCGGCATGTTATGGGGGGGGGAATAATAATGTGGTACGCATTTCACTAGTCTGATGATGATATGCCATGTTCAGTCGACTCACTCTCACTCTGCTTACAATAATCATGGCATTTTGACTATCTGCCTTTATACTGTTATATACTCTGGGCGCATAGCCTGCACATGCGATTCAACAAAATCATGGTCGTCATGAATTATGTATGTGGCGTTGTGGCAATATGTACACAGTGTTTGTGACTTGAAAGTCATAATCAAAACAGTTTTCAAAATAATTACTTTGATTTGCTTATTATGCCATAACAGCAGGTAGGTACTTTCATTTGGACTTCAGTTTACATTTTGTTTGTTGTTAAACGCTGCATCCAGCATTACACCAGAGGTTGAATATTTTACAACAATCGTGTCTGCACTATAGTCCAGCAGTTTACATCCTAAACACCATTCCACACAACTAGGATACGATGACATGACAACCAAGTCAACGGACCTGACCGCCCGATCCCATTAATCGCCTCTTGCAAGCCTTCATTTCCGAAGGTTAATTCTAACCTGGATCTTCAAGCGTGTTATTTAATTGTAATATCTTATAGCATTGGAGCCTTTTTGTGTAATTTCACTTTCGAATAATGCGTTATCATTGAATATATTTAGCAATCTTTGCAAAGTGTAAGTATTTTTCTTATCATCTCATCTGGGCCAGTCTTTCCAGTACAAACGAAACATAATGTCTTCATATTTGAATTTGAAATGTATGCAACCCCCATGAAAAGAACATTTGTGGGATTATGTCAAATAGAATGTAATTCCATCAAATGAAATAGGCAGAAGACGAATCTCTCAGACAAATTGTCATATTTTTTCGAAAGGTCATGTACCTTTATTATTGACTTTCGAATTGATACTATGACATCAATACTCGTCAATAAACATAGCGAATATAAGCCACTTTCATATTTTTACGGTGATATACAATTTATATTCAAAGAACGCCTCCTCTTATGCAATCGCATGTTGATGTATATCTGTGTAACTCACATTTGTTTTTTTCTAGTGGCGTATACTGGGTCGAGAATGACAGAATAATGTACTTGCGGCATGGAAGTAAAATGGCTCACAGTGTATTGAATGACTCCTACGCTGTATGGAACCCCACCCTTCACAAGCAAGGTATGTTTCACGTAGGATAATGCTGGTTTTATAATGACCTACAATCGTTGTTTTATGTTCGAAGGGTCTTTCACTATTTATGTCGGTTTGTATGAATTTCGTGACGTTTTAGTGGCCTTTTTGCTCAATCAACAATACTTCTGAAGTTCTCATGTTTGCGTGTTATAGTAAACCACTTGGCTGTTAATTCCTCTCCCCTCCTCCTCCTCCCCCCAACCCCCACCATTTTGTACTCTTTCAAAGGCTGCATTTACGAATAACCGATGTTATCTTAGAATAACGTAAGTTTGATTGAAGTCAATCCTGGTTAAAATTTTTTATAAGGGCTCGATTGACTACCTTCTCTGATATGTCAGTACACACCTACTGTACCATCTTCACTTTCACTTTCTTCGGCACCTGTCCTCAAAATACATGTTGTATTCTGCATGTCGTATCTTGGGGAAAATAAGAATTCAGTCAACACATCTCATCTAGTCACACTAATACCCTATTTACATGTACTTCATCCTATCAGCGTTATTTCTGTTTCTGTTTCTAATGTCTCCTTTAGGTTGGATGTCTCTTTTTATATTTCTCAGCAAACTACTTATATATTTACAGTCAGCATTCTGTCTCTTCCTCGTGTTCTTGTATTCATTTTTTTCATATTCCATAATCGTCTTCCATCATTCTCATAATTTGTCTTATCTGCTATAGATATATATGAACACCAGGTATTTGCAGTGTTTCGCAGCATAAGTAAGCTACGAATGTTAGAGTGGAGTTTAGTCAGTCTCTACTTCGAACCTTTTTTTAATCTATGCACAACTCCTTGTTGAATTCCTCACTCCACAGTCTTTGTTACCTGGGTCATTTTATTTCCGTTATCACCAACATGTTATGTTTTCTATCTGATCACCTCGGTTCTTCAGATGAGCATATCCTGACTGGTACTTGTATTGCTCCTACACTGGGTTCCTTGGTCTCATATGCCAGTGTAGTCTCCCCAGCAGGGTATATCCCCACAGGACTCTAGCCTTTCTGCATTCATTACCTAGAATTTATTGATCACACTTGAGTTACGATCATCCACTCGGCTGTCTTACCGATCATTACACATAAGACCTGATCAGACATTTGCGTTACCTTTCCCTTGTCCAAGTCAGTTCACGGTAACTGCGCATATCACATGTCACAAACCTGATACATGCTGTTGCGGTTAATAAATTTGCCGTGACAACAGGTTTAAGAGTCCCCTTTGAACCAGCAAAATAGAACACAGACAAGTCTAAAATAATCAATAATATATTGAACAAACAATGGGCAAACTACAATGAATGACAATACAGATATATAGTACAATGCAGTTGAGTCACAAATCTAAAATATTTGGTCACAAATATAAGATATCAACTCACAAGACTCTTGACATTTACAGTGTGAGCAGATATACTGATTGAAGGTTGTTTACATTGACAACAGTTGAATATAGACGAGCAGCATGGTCAGTCTTGAATGTTGATCAGACGATGACGATGGCAGAGATGTACACAAATCCAGTCATATAATAAAGTCCCGCGAACAACACAACAACCAGCCTTTATATAGCTTTTTCACAGTTCTCGAGCATTCTAGCAATGCTAGGCTGTATCTATCCACTCAGAACTTTATAGAAATCCGTCGAAATTGGTGGAAAACTCCACGACATGATGAAAGCTGTAAATAAACTTGATTGCTAAGGGAGGCAACTCTGAAGCTCTATCAAAAAAGGCATACCGCTAAAAATAGTGTTGCCATTGGACATATATGATGCGAGATGCGAGCCAAAACCCACACTCAAAACTTTAAACATTGTGACCCATAATAACTATCACTTATTCAATGATATTACAAATTACAAAAAAAACACTCTCATAACAATGCCAATAATCGAAGAAGTGCAGTGGAACTCGAACAATTGGCGTTAGGATAATTACTCTGATACCGCCATCCTAATGATACCATGCAGACAGCGGCTGTTACAAAGTCCTTTTAAGGCCAAGATGGTCATTTACTTTACCTATGAATCCTATTTCGTTTTTGCATGTCAATTCTGTTTCCACACTTACATTTTATAACATTCAAACTTGCGTGAACAAACATGGCGGCACCCATATGCCAAGTGGTGCTGGACTCCTGTACCTTTCACCAGTATATACCAAGTTAATGGTACCTAACCTTGTCGGTTTTCCTTTGAACCTCTGAACAAGCATAACCTGGTCCCGTACCCTGCCAACCCAGAGAGGACTATGCGATATCAAATCCACCCATGAATGTTGAAATGTATATAACAATAGAGCCTACACAATCTGTCAGTTGCGCTGAAACAAGCAGAAAGTCAGTAAAGTCAACAAAATCTGTGTCTGATAGAAGCAGAAAGTCTGTAAAACCTACAAAATCTGTCAATTACGCTGAAACAAGTAGAACGTCAGTAGAATCAACGAAATCTGTAACTGATAGAATCATCAAAACCCCTGAATACAACTGAAATTAAAAATCCACAACAGCTCTGTATGTAGATCAATAAGTTCTGTGATCTCACAGTTGTCAGACAATCAAACCGCAAGGTTACAAGAAACTGAAGAAACTATCTTAACTAGAAGAATTACAAAGAAGATTTGAGGAGGATATCCTTACACAAGAGGAATTACCAAGATGTGACAACATTGCACGGAATGCACAGGAAGAGGCTGAAATGGAAATTATAAAGACGCAGAGGAGGGCTTATGAGGTAGAATGCAAGGCCCAATGAAAATGAGAGCGACTGGGAACCAAGATGAATTTGGGGAGCGGAAGCAGAAGCCAAACTAAAAGAGGCAAGTTTTATTGACTGTATGAAGAAAGAAGATTCCCTGGTTGCACCACTGTTCAATCTTCCGGGGAAGTCATCTTTACCGTCCAGACATCATCCGGTGCAGTAGCTCCCAGTACTGTCCACTCTACCGTCCAGACGTCCTCCAGTGTACTAGCTCCCAGGGCTATCCACTCTACTGTCCAGACGTCCTCTGGTGTACTGGCTCCCAGGGCTATCCACTCTACTGTCCAGACGTCCTCCGGTGTAGCAGCTCCCAGTGGTGTCCACCCTCCAGTCCAGAGGTCCTCTGGTGTACTAACTTCCAGGGCTATCCACTCTACTGTCCAGACGTCCTCCGGTGTACTAGCTTCCAGGGCTATCATCTCTACCGTCCAGACATCATCCGGTGTAGCAGCTCCCAGGGCTATCCACTCTACCGTCCAGACGTCCTCCGGTGTATTACCTTCCAGGGCTATCCTCTCTACTGTCCAGACATCATCCGGTGTAGCAGCTCCCAGGGCTATCCACTCTACCGTCCAGACGTCCTCCGGTGTATTACCTTCCAGGGTTATCCTCTCTACTGTCCAGAGGTCCTCTGGTGTACTAACTTCTGGGGCTATCCACTCTACTGTCCAGATGTCCTCCGGTGTACAAGTTTCCAGGGCTATCCACTCTACCGTCCAGACATCATCCGGTGTAGCAGCTCCCAGGGCTATCAACTCTACCGTCCAGACGTCCTCCAGGGTATTACCTTCCAGGGCTATCCACTCTACCGTCCAGACGTCCTCCGGTGTATTACCTTCCAGGGCTATCCACTCTACCATCCAGACATCATCCGGTGTAGTAGCTCCCAGGGCTATCCACCCTCCCGTCCAGACATCATCCGGTGTACTAGCTCCCAGGGCTATCCACTCTACCGTCCAGACGTCCTCCGGTGTCCTCCGGTGCTATCCACTCTAACGTCCAAGGCACTGTAAGTCCCCATGGTCCCTAGTATGGTGATCTACCTTCAGTTGTTGGCGATCTATAGCTCATAATTTTCTATTTTTAAAGATATATGCTAGCTAGTTTTAAATCAATCTGTGATAATCTAGTGGTTTTACTGTCCTTCGTTGACAGGGTTTTATATATTATATGTATGTATTATGAATTTAGAACTAGTTTTAGTCACCAAATGGCTGAAATATTGCCGATGTGACTATAAATCTTAACTCACTCATTCTACCGTCCAGACGTCCTCCGGTGTACTAGCTCCCAGTGCTGTCCACCCTCCCGTCCAGACGTACTAGCTCCCAGTGCTGAAGTCAGTGGAAGGTGAAAATGGATCTGAGCTTAAATGTGGGTCTCATGTCGACAGTTCTTGGAAAGTTGCCACCAAATTACAGAGACAGCTTTGTAGAGCACTGTATCAAAGACTCAATCTGTCGATCAGAAAGTGACCAGACATATAGATCGTGTCACTTTGCCGACTGGTTACAGAAGAAACCATGTACCATGCACATTGCTAGCCAGCCTGCCACACTCTGCAAGCCAGAGACCCCGAGAGAGCCATGGAAGCCTAAGCCGCTTCGAACCATAGACAACCTAACCCAACAGCTTCATTCGTTACAAGGTAGGCTAATACTTCATCTGTGCTCAGAGCTAAGCCATTTTGCCCATATTGCATTAATATAATACTTCCTGAATGAGTGTCCTGAATTCAGACGAAGAGGAACACTTGTCTGCTGAACCACACTAAATCAGCTCAGCTCTCGCCATCTGTCTGTGTGGAGACACTTTGGCAACTTGGCACCCTTCTCTGTACAAGTAAACATGTTATTCGCCCCAAACAGGACACGATTGCACTGGAAATACTAAACTCCGAGACCACAAGAATTGAGGTGAATGACGTAAGTCACTAGGCAACCCCACTCTTGTGCTCTCATGATGGTACCCGTTTCAACGCCAATGTGAAGAAGCTGTTCTCCCAACTTTGAAGCGTTCAGAACGATGACTGAAGGACAATTTTGATATGACCGGTACGTACAATGAGGCTATTCGGAAGCTTGTTGAATTTGGATTTCTGACATCAAAGTTATGTTCCACCAAATCAGACTGCTTCCACCAGATCGACCCTTACTTCGTTTCCTGTGGCGAGACATTGAATGCGATCGTCCGCCAGATCTGAATGAATGGCAAGTTCTGCCTTGTGGTACTACCCGCTACCATTGCTTTACATGCTTATGCACTGTTGAAACATGCAGCTGAAAACCAGACAGGCAATGAGGAAGTGTTCGAATCATTGAGTGAATCATTCTATGTAGACAACTGTCTGGATAGTTTCAAGAACCAAACTCAGGTAAAGAAGCTGTCACCAAGACGCGAGATATGCTCACAGACGGTGGATTCAATGTAAGACAGTGGGCTAGTAATGTTCCCGAGGTTGTCAGTGATCTCCCTACTGAAGCGAGGCCCGAGGCCGCAGACTTGTGGCTCAATTTTGGACACAGTGAACTTAGAGAATCAATTTTGGGCTTACGCTGGGACTGTCAATCACATGAGCTATCAGAGAATTTTGCACCTTCGTGACATAATATCATCCCTTGTGGATAATTTAAATGTTTCTGGTCGAAGTAAAAATGTGCATGCAATAGAGAGGCAGTTACGACTGTCTCAACAAATTTTAGAAAATGGTCAATTGAAAACGGTTTCAAATTTTTTCAATCCCAAACTAATTGTGTAAGGTTATGTTATCTATTCGGAAGGTCGGATACTGAGAAATACAGTCATGTTAAATACAGAACTTCTTCTAATGAATAGATGTCCATAAAACACCATGCTCGCACACAGGTCAATAACATCGGAATTCAAAGAAAAAAACCCAACGCACATGGTACTATTCTTCGGGAACTTTCCATACAAGAAGGGAGATAACTCTGCAAACACACATGCAACCTACTCGGAAATTAGGACATGAAATTTAGGGTTCTAAACCCAACTTGGCTAACACTTTTGCATGTATGATATATAACTTGTATAAAGTTTTGTGTTTAGGCAGGTCATGTCGTTACACTCCCCTCACAATTTGAAATATACAATAACAAATCTGATTACTGAAATATTCATGAAAAATACCAATTTTCAGAAAGAGTCAAACGAGGGATTCATGTCACTGAATGAATAGAACATGAAGTGACTGGGTGTCCTCATCGCATTAAGGGTCAGCACTAATTTGTGGATTGGTCTCATAAGATAATGTAAAGTGTCCATCACTTGACCCATCTGGTATGGCAAGCTCAATTTTCCTCACGATACCGTCACCGCTGGGGAATACCTGAGAAATGCGAGCCAAAGGCCAAAACATTCCTTGGTTGAGTGTCATTCTTTATTATGACAATGTCATTCACACACTTGTTTCTTTTTTGGAGAATTCCATTTCCGTCGAGATTGCAGAAAATTGGAGAAACTCCTTCATAATCAGTATGTGATTTGGAGTAAGTGGTTTCAATGATAGCGGATCACACAAAGTGTCTATAGCAGATATTTCAAACATTACTGTTCGGAGTGACTCATCGTCCAACTGAGTTCCGACCTCTTGGAGTAGGGCTGAAAGAACATTCTTCGCACTCCGTTTCTTGTGCTCCCAGATACCACCCATGTGGCTAGAGGACGGAAGATTAAGTTTACACTAAAAATAGTCACAGTTCTTGTGTAGAAGAAACTCGCCCACTCTCTGATGATCAATGTTAGACGATGATGCAAAGAGTTCGTTTATAGCCTAAAAAAATGGTTCCTTGGTCATAACATAACAGAACGATCGGACTTCTCCGTGCTCATAGATGTCACAGTCTCAATATGTACAGAACGACAGGCTATACACGTAAACAACACACCATACCGTTTTAATTCTTTCCTTCCTTCGTGGATGTAGAATGGCCCGAAACAGTCCATTTCACAGTACATAAACGACGGTGCCTCCTCGGTTCTTTCCACGGGGAGCTTGTACCAGACTTTTTGACGGATTTCAGAAGTTTCACTGAACTGTTTTTGCTTGACAAGTTTGAGAATCAAAGTCTCTGCTTCTTGCATGTCTTTAACATGCAAAGACTTGTTCATTACTTTAGCATTATTAAGTGCTACGTCAACACCTTTCATCAGTCTATAATTCAACTTGATGCAATTTGCTCCCGCTCGCTTTGCACGCTGCCAGTCAGAGAAACACGCCAAGGAATTTGGAGATTCACATGCAGTCGCGGCATGTGATGTTTAACAGGCTTTTACCTTCTTGATCTCATGGTCATCAACAGGACGTGACAATGGCATGATGTTTCTACCGAAGAAATCCGGGCCATCGAGCCATTTAGACTCACTTAACATGCTAGGCTAAGGCCTCTAGATGCTTCATCTGCCCGATTTTGTGTTCTGTGTCGACTCTAATTCGGGAGGGGATCAAACAACCCTCCTTACTTCCACAGATCACTCATCCGATTCAAACTTGATTACGGTTCCCAGGCAACCTCAAAATACTTTGTCTTTATGTTGGAACCTGTGAAGATCCGGGTTAGAATATATCTTTTAGTAACCCATCCGTGTCGTAAGAGGAGACCAACGGGATCCGGTGGTCAAGCTCGCTGATTTGGTTGACACATGTCAACGTATCCCAATTGTGTAGATCGCTGCCCATGCTGTTGATCACTGGATTGAATGATTCTGGCACGGTTATTTACTGACCGCCACCACATAGCTGAAACATTGCTGGAAAACTAAACTCACTCACTCACTTTACGTTGAAGCATAGGAGCCTTCTTTATAAGGCTACAAAACTCAATGGAGGTATACATTAAGTATCAATATCAACAGCAATATGTTTCGGTTAAATAGTCATTCAGTATTAAATACTAGGATGCGAGGAAACCATTTTGCTGCAAAACTTTGAAAATAGTATTTCTTCTGGATGTGTTTCAGTGGTGAAGAGCAAGTGTAAAGGTATCTCTAAGCAGAGAAGATTATGTGATTCAGTAATGGATTCGTACCTAAAACGTCTAATCAAATGAAAGTTTTTGTCAAATTAAGTTCCTGAATACGTTCCGTAATGGAAAGTACTTTTTGGTATAAACAATTCCGTGCAGAAATTTATATCGAAAATCTGTCAGTTTCACACCTCTTAAATTCTTCCTGCAAATATAAAAAATCACAAGCCAATACAAATCAATTCAGTCAAATAATGTTTCCTATTTTTGGCAAATATGAGGTTTAACATTTACAGATAACAATTTATCATTGAATAATCTTGAACCTTTTCTTGGGGATATGAAATTCTGTTGGAGAGAATTTATATCGAGGTCCAAGTTGTTATATTCCTTTACAGTCTTTTTCTAAGGTTCAGGTAAAATAAATATAACATATCCAAGATCTAAATGTGTTCCTCTTATATCAAATTAAAGCTTAAACTCTTCAAAGGATATAAACCAAAGTTCATCACAAACATCCTTGATTGTCAAGATTCCACGTTTAACCCAGTGTCTACTAACGAGATCTGAGTTTTTGGGATACAATTTCATTCATGTTCTCTGCTTCTATAGTATTTTTGATGCAATATAATTCCCATGCCTTTAAAACATATTTCTAAAAAGGATTATCAACTGCAACTATATTCAGTTGTTACAAAACTTTATTTGAATTAGTCCAACTCTGCATACAAATGTGTTTTTAGTCCCCTATGTGAGGATCTGTATGTTAAAATATCTTATTCCACGGAATACGAATAAACCTTTCTTTTCTGCTGCCAACACTGAGCTGGAACATCTCCGTTCCGCATGCTTTCTTCTCCTCAATGGCAATTAGTAATTCCACAAGTCAATCTAACTTTGGCCACATTTAAAATGTCAGAAACAAATGAATGACAGTATAGACAAGAATTTAATTAATTGAGAAATACATATAATACATACATATCTTTATTTACAGATGAATCCAATGGTGGTGGTGGAGCTGATTGGGCCACTGCCATTGTATCCAGAACAATATAATTTAGATTACCAGTATGTAATTTCGTCAGACTCGTGTCTCCAGGCTATTAAAAATTGTCAACATCCACTTACATGTATAATAAAAATCATTGAATTATTTAATGATCTAGCTACTGGCCAATGCGACATCGTGCTCTGTTTGTTGAAACGTCTGGTAACACACTGGGCGATTTTGCTGCCAAGACAGCACTCGACAAGTCAGTGACACCACATTTAATACCATACTCTGATTACAAATCCGTAAGTATACTAAGCAGCAAAAGAAACGTCAGTTTGGAATTTTCCTTCGCAGAAACGGATAACTGTAACTTCATTCAATGTTTTACCTGAGCAAAGACATTCCTTCCCAAACTCAGAATGGAATCCAGGAAATGGTCTCAAAAACGCAACCTGATCTCGGAGATGGTACGGTGTTCTCCATGTTTTTCATGCAACTCATGCTGCACGTGCTGTTCACAAGGACCAGTCCTATAAAATGCTACCCCCAACCAGGTTGAAACATTCACATTACAACTTCAGCAGGATGCCGCGACTCATGACAGCTCAGAGGAGCCAGGCGCTAGGAAGACTTGAAGCTGGCCACACTGCACAAGCCGTTGCCAATCACTTCCGGGTCAACGTTCGGACCTTCTACAGGCTGCAGCAACGTTTCCGGGCCACCAACACGACAAATGATCGCCCCCGTACTGGCAGACCAAGGGTGACCACAAGACGACAAGACCGCCTTGTTGTGCGATAGCATTTACAGAATCCCTTCATACAGGCATCCGAAACAGCACGCCAGACAGTGGGAACACACGGAAGACCAATTAGTACTGATACAGTACACCGACGTCTTAACAGCGGGAACCTCCATTGCCGTAGACCTTACCGTGGACCTATCCTCACCCCTCGTCATCAGCGTGAACGTCTACAGTCTACAACACCAAAACTGTCGATACAGGCAATGGAGAACTGTTCTGTTCACAAATGAGAGTCGGTACTGCGTATCAGCTTGCATGGCAGAACAAGAATATGGCGACGACGTGGCCAGCGATACTCATACCAATGGGTTATGGAAAGAGACTCACGGGGATATGCAAGCATCGTGGTATGGGGTGGAATAGCCCTGAACCAGAGAGTGGGTCCTGTGGTGTTCCAGAACCTTGGTCCAGGGAGAGGTGGCGGCATCACATCGGTGCGCTACATCGACCAAGCTCTCAGACCCCACGTCATACCACTTTTCGCGCGTCACCAGAACAACATTTTCCAGCATGATAACACCCGGGCCCATACTGCCAGAGCTACAAGGGACTTCCTACAGCAGAACGGTCCCAACATTATGCACTGGCCACCCCTTAGTCCTGATTTAAACCCAATTGAACATCTTTGGGATGAAATTCAGAGGAGACTGAATAATGTCATACCAAGCCCGAACACAGCCGATTTATTGCGCCATGCCTTTCTCAGAGCGTGGTTCAAAGGCCTTCATCAATCGATTGGTGCCCTCCATGCATAGAGGCTGTGCTGCAGTTATTGCCGCTCGTGGTGGTCACACTAGATACTGAAGCCAAGGGTCTGAATGGACTGCAAACGTTCACGTAATGTCTTGAATTAGTGCTGAGTTATTTATGGATGTGTCAAGATATTGTACACAAAAATGTTTTTGATCCGCTTATTATGTCCATTTCTGTAATGATTTGATTACAGTGCCTATGTAATTTTGAATTCCTACTGACGTGTTTTTTACTTCTGAGTATAGATCTTATATCCGTGATTTGATGCATAAGAAGTGGGACACCCAAGTAGGTGTTAATAAATTATATCAAACATAGCCAAAACTTGGCTACATCGTCTTGGGTTGTCAGACTTCAAGAGGTCATTAAGTCGCACTGGCCATTCACGATATACTCGGGAATAATTGTTGAAAGGCGAGGATCCTCCATGCTGTATCCCTTGTGATGAAAGATTCACCTCATTCATTTTAAACCTGGTAACAGGTGAACCATTATCTGCATATCGGACCTGTTATTCTGGAACAATGGCGGTGAACACTAATAAGACTTCATATCTGAGAAGGTCATCACAGTATGAGCTCTGTGTTTGAGCATAGCAATACTGATCACAAAATACTTTTTCAGTCTTCCATTTTACCAATAGTCATGTCAGTTTCAGGTTTGGTACCAATCTTTACTGCTGCAGTGGCACCTGTAGGTCTGAAGGACCTAGCTGTAAACCCTTGTACACTCAGGCCTGCTCGCCTGATAGACTCTCAGAATAGAAGATATAGTATGACCAGAAATTATTGAGAATTTTAGGAATATGTTTAATTGGATTTCTAGTATAAACAACCTTGACCAGCTATCAAGTGATTGGTTTCATTCAAAAGAAACAACTCCGTTAATCCCTTTTCATTAGTTTGTGAAGAGTTATCCCCCTTTGTTTACTTGCTAGCAGACGACATTTTCAGTGATCCTCAGTATGGATGATTTAGAGAAGAGGAAGTTGATTTTAGAGTATTTATATCAAGGACATCAGTTCAGCTAAAGTGATTTCAAGTAGAACAGGCATCCCTTTGTACAATGTTTATCGTGGTTTGAAAAATATTGCAAATGGATATGGCACTGAGCACCAGGGAGGAGCAGGTGGGCCCAGAAAATTGACTGTCGGTGACAGGAGGCGGCTTGGTATTTTTGTTTCTAAAAACAAACGAAGGAGTTTAGAAAACTTAAGGCTGGATATGATCGATAGAGGAACTGTGGCTGTCTGTAAGGAGACAATTAGAACTGAGCTGCATGCAATGGGCTGGCAGTAAAGGCGAGGAATTCCATCACCGATCATAAAACCTGAACAAAAGGAGCGAAGGTTGAACTGGTGCTTACAGCATAGAAATTTTAACTGGGACATTGTGATTTTCTCAGATGAAAGTCCCGTGTAGCTGTTTCCTAATACACTGAAATTCTGGACCAAACAAACTGAAAACCCTTTGTATCAGCGCCCAAAGTACTGTCCGAAATTTAACGTGTGGAGTGGCATATCTGTGTTAGGGGCAACGCCCCTCTGTGTATTTGAAGGGAATATGAACAGTGAGCAGTACACATATTCTCGAGGGACATTTACTTCCATGTGCTCACGTGTTCTATGGAAATTTTTGGATTTTCCAGAAGGACAACGACCCAAAACATCGTTCAAAGCATACACAGGCCTGGTTTGCAGACCCAAAATATGACATTTTTAGATTGGCCAAGCTATTGCCCTGACCTAAATCCAATAGAAAATGTTTGGGGACTTATGAAGGAAAGTGTCAATAAGAAAAATCTGACAAATATTGCTGAAATGAAAGAAGAGGTCGTCCGATATTGGGACAGCATGGACCACGACTTTCTAACTTCTTTGATCAGTAGTATGCCCCGCCGCATTGAAGCCTGCATTGCTGCCAATGGTGACTTGACAAAATACTAACTGTTCACCTGTCTTTGAATCTGGAGTTATGTTCTGCTAATATTCACATTTAATACGTGAGTAATGAGTGAAGAAAATTAAAAAAGCTACAATCTTAAATTCTCAATAACTTGTGGTTGTACTGTATGCTCTGGCCTGTAAGGGCTGTCACGGTAAGGAACACGGGTTACACCCCTTTGACCGGTTGCTCGCCGTTCTGTCAATGTACGCTGTCAATGGCTGCACTTGGTCAGACTTTGTCGACGATCCTCTGGGTATTCGAACTTCAAAGCCTGAACGATCAGAATCATTCTTTTATACGAAACAGTATCACAGTGAGAGGTCCATCTGTGTTAAATTCCAATTGATCCGCAGTGAACACAACAGGTATGCTAGACTGAGACTCCGATTCATAGTGCATAGCTTTCGGTGCTAGATCAGAGGGTATGGTCATCAAACAAATAAACATCTGAATTGTTCCCATGGCATTACACTGGTTCTGCGACATTACTTAGATGTATCTGACTTTGTCAGATCTGTTGACATTTTCTTGAGGTCTTCTAGAGTCATAGGTGACGGCTTGCCTCATAGAGACATGATATTGCAGCACATGTAGACTTTAATTGTGATGCTGGTGGACCACTGGAGTCCGCTAAAGTACATAGAACACTAGCAATGGTCTCTGTGTCCTGATAATGTGGAGGAAAGCACACACCCACACTCTCACAATATGATTTCATTTTTTGTAATTGTTGTATAACGATAATGTTGATTTGGCCTAATTAAATTGGAATTGTTGTGACGCTCTCTGCTACCATCCAAGATAAGTTAATTTCTCATGCCAGACACTCGCCAGAAATATATCTGCCATCCTCGATTTTGAAGGTGTTCTGGTTCTGGCCATATGGGTTAAAAAGTCCGCTAGTGGATCGGTAACAGAATCGGCGGTGATACTGACATTGCTATACGCCGTTGACACCATGGTTGTCCTTCCCAATGTGGGGCGATGACTGTTGCGACTACATTTTGCTGAAGTATGGTCTCTAGTACTCTTGAAAGAAGATGGAATGGGGCGTTGGCATAGTTCTTTTCTGATGTCCAGTTGGTCTGGGCAAGCGCGTCCACTCATTCCGTCAGAGGAATCGAAGTAGAGACTGTTGTAACGAGGTAGTTGTGTTGTTATCAGGTGACCGAAGCAATCTATTGTATGAGGTCCCCATATCACGATCTATGAATAAACATTCTGTCGGGTTTAGTTTCCATTGTTAGCGTGTTAGCGGTCTGGACAGGGCCTACGTTTTCTTTGCCAGCTAGATGTCTGGCTGTAACTTTTATGTCCATACTTAAAGTAAATGTCCATGTTTGTTTGGCTATCGGAACCATTTCCTTGCTTGGTCCGCCCTGGAAGTTTATATTGGCCACTGCTGCGATATTGCCGCTGAGAACTTGAACTACTTTCCCCTGAAGCTGTTTGGAGAATGCATGTAGACACATTAGGATAGCAGTTAATTCTCTCATAGTTGAATGCTGGTGACACATTCGAGTATTCCACAAACAGTTGGCTTCCAGTCCCTGACATGTACCGCCCCAGGGGGGCTACCGAAGATGCATCGGTTATCACCTGTACGTCTATTGTGTGAAGCTGTACCGCGACACCATTCCAAAGCTTACTGCTGAAAACCACCATTTCAGATCCTTCACAGCTGCTTGATCCAAGTAAAGTGTATCCTGCCATGTGGATTTGGTGCGTAAACACGCATAAGTGTTTCTCAACTGAAGTTTTTCTGGTACAATTGCTTTAGCCATAGAAATACATTGTCTTGCCATCCTAGCTAGATTTCTCGATGTACAAACACCCTTTGAAATAACTCTTCTAATATAATGTTTTAGTTTTGTGATACGATCCTTAGGAATCTTAAAAGCTTTATTCAGACATGTCTGTCTGTATTATCTGTAGATAGAATGTAGCCTACATACCTTAATGTAGATGTAGGATCTAACACTGATTTCTCAAGATTTACCTGAAGTCCAACACCCTCAAGGGTTGTCACAAGAATATCCTTATCCTTTTCAATACAATCTGGGAAATTTGCACTAACAAAATCATCCACGTACACTGAAATGTTTAAGGCTTTTTGCCTCAAATGACAAATCACTGGCCTTAATCTCTTATTGAACAAATATGGACTAACTGATAGACCAAAAGGCACACATTGCCAGGTATAATACACCCCTCTCCACTGTATGCCCAAATACCTTTGAGACACTTTGTTGACTGGAACATAATAAAAACCATTCTTAATATCAACAGAAAACAATTTATGGTTAGGTTGTACGAAATCTAACACAGTTGATATGTTCTCTTGTTTAAACTTAGGGCAAACTACATTTTGATTAAGCTATCTAGGAGAAGTAAGAAGCCTATATGAATCCTTACCCTTCTTTGGGACACAAGTTAAAGGTGATACACAATGAGGTCTATTATGACATACAGCAAATGCTGAACAGCGGACAGGAATACTTATATCATTGTCAATAAAAACACATTCTTTTAAGGAATGTGTGCGATTTGGAAGCTCAAAAGTCTCAGGTTCTGAGACAAAATGAATATCAGCTCCTATCTCAAACTACTTTAACACTGTATCACATGCACCAATTGTTTTCCAGTTTCTAAGAAAATCTCATAATTATATTTCTTGCTTTAAAAATCTGAGGTGACATAACAGTTATTACTATTAAAATGATCAAGAGTCTTGCATAGCATTATTCCCTGTCTGACCAGGAAATCTGTTGTATGTTAACTGTCCACTGAACTGTTGAAAGAGGTCTCCCCTTGTGTATCCACGAAATTGTCTACCACGGTATCCACGTGAATAGTTTGTACATTGAATATGCCGACTCCCAAAACCACGTCTAGTAGATGGGTTGGCAAACCGGGATCTAACCGCTGATATTTCTGCAGCATGCCGCAGATTGTTGAGAGATTGTGTTGAAAAAACTATACACATAGTGTTATTCTCTAAACATCTGAAAAGTTTTGCAGTTTCACCATCAAACTGACTGTTCACCAGAAGGGTCGAATACTCCCTTGTAAAATGATGGAAAGTTTATGGATGTCTCCATCAGTAATCTTGTTTAGTCCTTTATCAACAATCACAGACAACTGTTATATTGCAGTCTCAGAATATCTAGCATATTTGCTGAGTAATGCTAGCGCCTGATTTTCCTGTTTAATACCCTGTTTCGTGTCAAACACGCAGTTCATTTGGAATCAGTACTGTCTCTAACACACTCGAATTCTCTCTGGATGTCGGCAGCAGCGACAGAATGTGCCCCCGGGCCGTCCTGGCTCGCTATCCCGCCATTTTGGCGGTTATCATTTTGTCTACCTCGGTAGGGTTTTCTTGCGAACTTTTTTCAACTGTCAGCAATCTACTTTCAATTACTTGAAGTTTTGCTTGATAATTTTCAAAATCTTTCATCGTTACTTTTGGGGACCCGGTGAGTGGATTGCACTTGGAACCAAGACGCATGTCCGGATGTTTGATTCACCAACATCCCGTATACAACTGAAGAAGATTGTACGATACTTCGCTCAGTTTGTGTGACTTCATATATTTCAAAGTTTCATCCCTGAAGGATCTTTTTGAAATAAGTTCGGGTTTTTGTAAAAAGAAATTGAATTATTACACAAATGCTGATGGACATGGTTGTACACAGATACATAGTAATTTATAATCGGTAGATTAAATTAGCAAACTTGATTGTTAGTGCAACATATGTTATATTTGGGATTACACTTTTTAGTAAAGAACAGATTCTTGTCCTTTTGTTGGGTTGAGTTCCATTCGGGATTCGAACCCACATCCTCAGAGTCGGACTCCTAATCGTCAGCACACAAATCCAGCCACCTAACCTGCTCTGCCACCGCGACTTCCACAAAAATGGAAGTCGGGCAGCTGGTAGTCTGGACTGCGGACATTGTGTACCCCTCTGATAAGTGTAAATTGGCACGGCTCCCATGGCCGAAAGCTATGATTACACAATGACATGTTAGAAAGTGGACAAATGTAGCATATGTTATATTTGGGATTACACTGTCTTAGTCAAGTACAGATTCTTGCGATTAGATGTCTCTGAGTGTGTGCGTTCGAATCCCGAATGGGACTCAACCCAACAAAAGTAGAGGCTATATAGGCTATATATTCACCATACTAGGGACCATGGGGACGTACAGTACATTTACTTCCTGTACACTACAGTACATAGCTGTATTAGCAATTTTAGATAGTCTAGCCATAACTTAAAGTAACATATATACTACGATTAAATATAGTAACTAACTAACTATCTCAGCTGCTAATCTAAACTACCAATAATAAAATATTTATCTATTTACGACGAGCCAACGCTTTAACCACTAGCCTACCCCACCGCCCCTGGTCAGTCCAGATTTGAAGAGGTCATTATGCAGCAATGTCGCATTGACCATACAATATACACTCGTGAATATTTGTTAAAACTTTGGGATACTCCGCTTTGCATTCCTTGTGATGAAAAACTCACGGTCAAGCATATCTTTAAAACTGCGTTGATTGTTCCATCTCAAGGAATATATATTTCGGTGTTAAAACGGTTAAGGGTCTTTTTACTATTGTTCATTACCATTTAATTATTGAGATAGAATTGATTGCAAAAATTTGATTGATATGTTTTGTAGATAGATGTATTATTATAATTGATAGCTTGAGTTGACAACTGAGAATGTTAGTGGTTGTATTCTCACAGGAGGCTGAAGTACTGTAGAGCTATTGTTCCCCTGACAAGGTATATAAGTCCACATCATTAAAAAAATAATCATACCTATCATCGCTTTTAATCGTAGTATCTCTGTCCATTTTAGATATTTGGCAAACACTGAATACAATCGATAATAGCCGAAGGGATGGTATAAATCCTGCTGGGGAGTCGTGCAAGAAACAGAAGTATTGTAAGTCTCCGCAGATCCCTAGTATGGTGACCTAACTTTCGTTGCTGGCGATCCTCGAGCCCGTTTTTACATTGGGTTTGTCAGTTGATCGATTACTATTTCATTTTATGTTCATAATCTTGTTGTTAGACAGTATAAAATCCTATAGGATTTTCTGTTGTTTACATATATTTTTCATTTATGTATATTTTTCTCTCGTCATGATATGACTAAAACTCTGCCGATGTGACCATAAATATAAACTCACTACCTTTGGAAATGGTTGTACTTATCAAACATTATCATATATGTAAAGGACTTATGACTGTACATGTCAGAGGTAGAATTCCCATAAATCTCCCATTTAAACTGAGCGTGAACGTATATAAGTAGCAACAATACCTCGCAACCTTTGCATCGATAAGTCCAGCTTGGACCCGTACTGTTTTGAAAGTTGTCCTTGCCACAACATATTATTCACCAAATACGATGCTGTTACTATCCCCACGCACAACCACGGCATGGTTTGACCACTTCACTGTTCCTTATGTTCACTATTTAATTGGACGCCACACTGGAGGAACAGCAAATAAAAAGAAATAACCTTTCTCAATTATTACATGCCTAACACTGTTTTCGCAATGAGTCAATATGGTTCACCCTACATCATCACGTTTGGCACTGAGTATCAGTCCATGGAACACACCATGGTATATCTCAATAGCTATTTTCAATATTGAGAATATACCTCACGTGGCAGTATCATGTCAAGTTAGCTTGTCACCTGCATGGGGGTCACCTCTGCGTGCACTATCAACATCAGCACCAACCAGTATTTATGTCAATCGTGGAGTTGGAAGAACCAGAGTCGACGACGAATGGACATAGATATAGAATTCAATGATACAATTTGTGCATATGTACAGAATAGTGTTATTAAATATCCAACATGTGTTCAGGAAATATTTTGAATAGTAGTGCTGACAGCTGTATAGTTAAAATATCCAGGTTAGCTGAAGTGCCATGATATTATTGTTTCAGTATAATTGTGAATACTTCATAACTTCCATTGATCTTGTTTTTTCTTCAGACAACAGAATACTATGGCAAAGCTACAACAGGCTGCGGGCGGCAAACATCAATGATTCCAATTCCCAAACTTTAGCAACTAATTTCACGTCCAGATTTGGCATTACAGACAAATATTTCTTCTATGTGGACAGCAATGCAGTGTATGTATATTTGTGTGTTACATAATACATGAAGAACACTGGGAACACAAAAGGACAACAAAAGAAAGTATATACATAGTAGTCTTTTGGGGATTATTTTCCAAATAAAATATCTTAAATATGTTGGGAAGTAATTTAATTGTGCCTTACAATTCACATACTGTGAACGCATTGCCAACACACAGCAGGCATGCTTCGCAGCGTTTGGCGTGGTTCTTCATGAAAATCTTGATTTTGTCAATCGCACGGGCATCACATACACCAACAATATAAAAAACAGTCGATTTGAATTGATTGTGGTGTACTGGGGCTGCGAGGCACCCTATTGGTAAAGGCGTCCGCTTGTAACGAAGAAGATCCGGGTTTGATTCCCCAGATGGATACGATGTGTGAAACCTATATCTGGTGTCCCAATCGTGATAGTGGTGGAATGTTGCTAAAGGGGGCGTAAAGCTAACCTCACTCACTCACTGTTATTGGTTGAAGGCACTCTTCACAATATCCAGAATGTTCGAATGTATAATGTAGACCATCGTCATACTAATGACTCCTGTCAGCCAGACTTGCCAGTCCCCAAACTGGAAGACCCAGAGTGACCATAACCTGCGCATTCTCCGTCTGCGCAACCAAGTGCTCACAGTGACGCCATCAGCGTTATCAGTGGTAGGCTACCGCATCAGCAGTAACGCAGCGGTGAGACGACTGCATGCTTTTTGCATCCGGGCCTGTCGACCATTTCCAGGCATATCATTAATGCGTAAAAATCGACTGAGTCGTCTGCGTTTGGGAGAAACGTGAGACGCTGGTAGCGTCGCAACTGGGTGCGATATCTGTGGCGCTTGTGACGCAGTGTTCGTTATTTGAAAATCACATTTAAACAATTTTCAAAATATACTGATGTTATTTTTATAATCCTACAGCATTTTCTGGAACTGTTGTGCAATTTCTTTAGTACGACAGTCGTGTGGTTATAACAAAATGACTGTCTCAGGCTATATGACTATTGGGCTGCTACAGTTGATATTCTATTATTGTTAGACATCTATTGTTATTACTATGTAACTACGTTATTACATTATGACTGAGTCGGGATGTTATTGACGTAACAATATGACTGTCAGGCCAGTATAAACGTGACTATATGACTGTTATCTGGCCAGTATTGTTGTTACATTGTGACTGTTAGGCCACCTATGTCATATTACTAACGTAAGAACCCTATTTTTTGTCAACCATACAGCTGCGTTTGTTGGGTCGGCTATTTATACAATTGGGAAATGCTTATTCAATTGACACTGAAGACTGTTGTTTTCAGACTGATGCGAGTAAATTCTGACCTGAGTGCTAGGGCAGCTGTATATACTCTGCCAGCCGCTGTCACAAGAACACGACTGGTCAACATAACGGATGATCCTAACTGTGAGTATTGTTTACACCTGATGTTTGCACGTTTGTCTGGTAAAGTGCTTAAAGGTCACATGCAACGTAAAACACAACTTTGCAGATTCTGATACCTTTCGGTATGGACTTACCGAAACAAATCATCAAAAATGCAAATTCAACTTATAAAGTTGAAAAATAACACGATGAAAAAAAAGGCGCGAAATCGTAGTTCAAACGATTCACTAACTTTCCCCCAAGGGGAATTGAAGTGGTTTCAACAGCTGGGCTGCGCTCATAGCACATGCGCAGTGAAATAGGTTCGCGGAGCTTGGAAGCGGGTTGTCCGGTGAATATTCGGTGAAGGCTTTGGTGTGAGCTATTTTTCTAATGTTTTGTTGATATTTCACAGCCGCGAGCTTTTTATATGTTATCACAGTAGATTACCGATTTAACTGGTTATATAATTTCATTTTTCTATTTCACCACACGTTCTTTTTACCGAGTCACTTTATCAGTTCGATACTTAAAAGCAATGTCATTATTTAGCGTCGACAGAATTTCTAACTGTGATATAGATATGTCGTTGTCACAGACAAAACTCAAAGTCTGTTTTATTGGCACTTATGTGTCTGCCTGCCTGTCTGCTAATAACAATATTCAATACACAATTTCAATCACTGACCACATGCAATTTGAACTTAGCACCTATCAGGCTATACACCATAAACAAAACGCATTGATTTATGGCCCGAGTTCGGTCTCTGTCACATTATGTAATTACACAGACAGGCAGGTGTGATACTTGTACACATGACATGTTATGATTTCTGTTGATTGCAAAATGTTATACACAAAAAATGAGCATGTATTTACAAAACAACCCAACATCTCTATATATACACACACAATGAGCCGTGAGGGCATCTGCAAATGAACCAGCCGTTACACTTGAGTGCACACCCACCCGCTCTTACTGGGTTCGGTATCCCGGCTGCTTCGTTTCTTGGGAAGTAAACCCAAGTACAAAATATTGCACTTTTGATTTGCGATTGTACGCTTATAATTTTGTTTATAAGTTTTTTTAAAACCAGCAATGTATATTATATGTCATGAATAAGTGATAATTGTGTTTTAATTAGGTTTGATTTTTTGGTTGCATGTGACCTTTAAACAAATGCGCAAGCATTTGATAAGATAAGATAAGATAATATCTTTGTTATCCCAAGGGAAAATCATATGCAGTTCTCCAGTCTTTTTCTTTCATAAAGCAGCCTTATATAACATTGCAAATGATAATCATAAAAAAACTGTTGTTCAAAATATTCAGGATATAAATACATCAATTTAGTAAACAATGATATCGACTAGAATTTTGACAGTTGGAAGTCATTCATTGTTTTGTTGTTAAGACATCTAATACTAGCTGGAACAAATCAGTGGCGAACCCTGTTTGTTCTAAAAATCGGCATACGCAGCCTGCGTCCAGAAGGTAATGATGAATATTCCGAAAAAAAGTATGTGAGTAGGATCCCCAAAAAATTTTGTTTGCCTTTTCTTAAATCTGCTGCTCATAAAATCTGCGGGTACTTTTGATAGGATCCCAATAATTTTAGACGCAGTGTTAACGATTTTTGAGAGTTTGCGTTTATTCTGGACAGACAGGTTCCCGTACCAACTCAAGATAATAATGGGTTATGACACTTTGAAAAAAGGTTTTGTAAAATAACATCATTATAGTTTGGTCGATTCTAAAATGTTTCAACTTCCACAAAAAATGCAAGCGTTATTTTCCTTTCTTATATATTTTCTCAGTGTTTTCGTTCCAAAAGTGTTTTGAATCTTAAACAGTAACCAAATATGTGTATTCGGTTACTCTTTCTATTTCATTAGCATTAAATGTTGACTTAGCTTTTTTAAAATCTCTGATCATTTCTTTGTTTTTTTGCACATTGAAAAAAAAAGAAGTTTGATTTACACCATTCTACAAATTTCAGCTCTGTAACTAAGTTCTGATTGCCTAATAAGGCCTACCAATCAAGCATCATCAGCGAATTTAACTGTAAAACATGTTTCTGCTTTGGATACACAGTCATTGGTGTACAATATAAACAAAATTGGTCAAGTAACGCAACCTTCTGGAGCGCCAGTTGATGTGTTTACAATTGATGATTTCACATTATTAACCCGTACAAATTGTTGTCTGTCAACTAGATATGAATTAATCCATTTGATGATAGAATTAACATTCAATTTGAAAAGTTTATCAATTAACAGATGAGGTTGAATAGTATTAAAGGCAGATGAAAAATCAACAAACCTTATTCTCACATAAGTACCATAGTTTCCTAAATGCTTATAGATATTGTTTAACAGAGTGACTGTTGCATCATCTACCCAATGCCTTGCTCTGTATGCAAATTGTAATGGGTCAAGAACATGGCTGACGTAATTCAACAACGAGTTCTTAACAATGCGTTCAAAACATTTCATGGCAACAGAGGTTAGGGACACTGGTCAGAAGTCATTATTAACAGAAGGATTCTTATTTTTTTGGCAATGGAATAATTTTAGAGGTTTTCCAAAGGATGGGAACATTATAAGTATTAATGTATATCTGAAATAGCTTTTGAAAAAGGAACTAAATAAAAAGTATTGTGGTCAGAAGTCCCCATCGGAGCCTTTGCCAAAAAATGTAGGCGTCTTTCACATTACCATAGCACAGGTCAATAGTTTTTTTCTAGATCTTGTCGGACACTTCACATACTGATGATATGATGGCAGAACATGTTTTAAGTCACATGCGTTAAAATCTCCGAGTATGAATTTTGGTGCCTCTGGTGAAAAATCATTACGTTTGTCCACAGTGGTGTGAATAGTGTTGGCCTCTCGTTTCACATTAGCATCCGGCGGAATATATACACTGATCACAAAAACTTGTCCAAATTCTCTAGGATGATAATAGGGCCTGAGTGAAATGCACAAAAGTTCAATGTCCTTGTTGCAGATAGATTCTTGCTTGCACCAGCGTTCTTTTACATAAACGCACACACCTCCTCCAACACGTTTCCCGGTCCTTGCCGCATCTCTACCCATTGAGTTCAACCATGTCTTCGTTAAGCACAGGAGACAGCTTTCTCGAAACTCATACATATACTTTACACAAGCCTCAATTTCATTTATTTGGCGCCGTAGACTTCTGACATTTGACAGAGAGGGGGTCTGTGCTTCCGGTTTCTCACCTTTTGTCGAGGCCCCCCTCTCTTTCCTCGTTTGCGTTTGAAAGTGTTAATTCCCTTATCGCTATTAGGAGCTATTATTATTGTTGCATGAACATTCCGGTGGCAGATCAATTTTCAAATGACTTACATCATTGAATCCTTGGAATTGAAGAAGCTGGTCACTCCCAAAGCGAATCGCATCGTAACGGCCATGATGGTTGTCTTAGACGCCACTGGTCGCTACGGAAGTAATCTGCAGCAAAAACCAGGTTACTGCCAGTGCGGCGCAAATCCATTTTCGCTTATTCGTCTTCTCCATGGTTTGAACTTCAAAACTTTATTCGTTTATGATGTTAACTCATCTGAGATTCATCTGGAGAGCAGTAACGATGCGTGTCGCTCCACACTCATATTTACAACCAAATCATTGCTTGTATGTGCAGGGGTCGTTTTCCACAGATTGGTATCGTGTTTTGTGCCGCACAGTCCATTCTTCTTCGTTCACTTGTTACTGGTGCTGTTGGCTTTCCGTGTAGTCGAAATTCGCATCAATATCAGTTTCACAATAAGTAAAACCACCTGATTATCAAGAAGGACTTATGACTGGATGATACATTTGTGAAATAACAAGACAAATTTATGATTTACTGGACTTCACTCATACCTACCAGATTCAAGGCTAAAATTAAAAATACTCCACCACTGATAATATGTTCATTCTCCAAAGCCTTGTACAGCATCATAACTCTCGTAAAGGTAGTACATTTTATGTTTTATTTGTATATTGTTCAGAAAACATTCAAGAGAAGTTTTGAAAGTCTGTATAGAAACGTTCTTGAGATATGTTGTTGAAATTCTTAACATACTGAAATCTTCAAAGTGTCGGTGTGACATTGAAATTTATATGAAGGGCACCAAAAATGAGCCCTGCGCATATTCTGGATTAAGCTTAGTGTCAAATATGAAGAAAATCCAGTGAACGGATCTTGAGATAAAGTTAAAGTCCCCTTGTGACCTTGAAATGAAGGTCAAGGTCACCAAACCTGACTGGTGAACCTAGGGACCAAATATGAATATACGGGCGTACGAACGGATTGACGGAGCCTATTACTATATCCCCCGCTTCGCGCTAAACGCTCGGCGGGAGATAAAAACAACGCCTGCAAATATTTTGATTGTATGCTAATATTGCTCGGTGACAAGGTACTATGGGACTGTGGCCTCTTCAGCACTGGAATAAAAGAGATTAGATTAGTACCCGGCGACTGTAACATTGAGGCACCGTGGTTACGTGATTACGATCATGCAATGCAAGAGAAAATAATTAACCGGGTCATTTGTCTGTTGCATCTCACCAGATTGCCTGAAAAGTGTTATCAAAAAGTTCAAATCAACACTTCCCGGGCCTGATTCAAAACCGGCATTGGAAACACTGTTCCCTTGTGTCCAGACACCATTACTATATTATTTCAGTTCTCTCGTGGACACAGGTGATGTTTCTCCATGGTTCTGCAAAGGTCCCAAGAAGGAGACTTGACTGATCCCAAAGTCATCCGCCCTATCACATGTTTGAATATTCAATATAAAATCTTTCACTGGGTGTTTGACGAACCTCGTGTCGTCTTACTGCTCTTCCAATGATATAATTTATGGAGATCAGAAGGGGGCGAGGAAGGAAAGTTGGAGGTGCAAGGATCAATTTCTTGTAAAAAAAAATGGATTTTGAAGTCTTTTCATTGTATTGACATCCCTGACTGATTTACTAAGATTTTAATGAGATGCTGGTCGTCTCAACTTGAGATGTACTCACAAGGGCAG